TACTCTTCACAAAAGTAATTCATTTGCGATGGCATCGCACTACATGTATGCCAAACAGTGTCACAACTTAGTTCTTTTGTCTTTGTAGTTAGCACGTGAATTGATGTTTTGCTTTGTCAAAAGTGTTTAATTAGTATAATTTGCTCAACACTCTCTCTGTCTCTGTTTGTATTTCAGTTTATGTAAACGTTTTTATTGTAATGGGAGAATGTTGATGTATTTTATAGTCTGTTATATGCATGTATACGTATACATTTTAACATGCATATTTGAAACATCATGAAGACAAAGAAGAAACAATCCTTTTAGCATAAGAAGTATTAAATATGTGGAAATCCGGTCTATATCTTGATATACGTAGAGATATAAAAATCCAGACAACAAGATAAAAAGTGTTACTCTTGAAACATAGACTAACAAAAATAGGGAATAAACTAAATGTGGGAAATATAAAATCAATGCTATTATTTTATATTCGAGATTGTAGTTATAAACGATAAAATGTTGAACAAAAAATACACAACATTGATTCAGTTCAGGTTAATTTAACATAACCCGAAGGGTATTCGTACTGAAATGTGAAACAAGTCTGAATGACGATAGTCTTAGTTCACACTACCATTTTTCATTAGGTGGGAGTGACGTTGTGAGTGAAATAGGCGTGAAATATTATCCTAATGACCGCATCGTTTATTTTCTTCTTGTAATTCTCCACCAGTTGACTGAGATCCAAAGTTTCCGGTCTGTAATAGCGACAATATTTCACTTTTAATCACCTCGCCGTAATATATCCTCACTGTAATGTATTTGCGATAGTTTAAATTCGTTAATTAAAGGAAAATTGTTAACTTTTGTTTAATTCTTTTTATTTATTAAATGTTTCAATTTTTAAATATCACCTTTATTAAAAAAAGACAGTTTTTATGAAATATATTATACTTATTTTATCCTAAAAGTTTTGAAATATCTTCTTGATAATTCAGTTCATAAGCACATTTGAACAGCTGTAATTTGTTTTAGGGAAGTTATTAGAAAATACGACTATGAAATATATCGCTGTTCTTTAAGATAATTAATATTCAACACTTAGAAATGTAGTTACACTAATCATATTTTGTGATGATCCAATCATTAACTTAACTGAATTCGATAACAAGAAAACATCACATCCAACATGAAGTGGCACAGCTACTCGTTCACTAAATTCCAAATAGACACTATTTTATTATCTAATAAATAAAATAAAGTGTGTTTTTAAAAGCCTAATTTTCCTGAGCTCTTTAACTCTCTCTCAAAACTAAGTTATTCGTTCATGATTAATATTAGATTTAAATCAAATTTGACATTTTTATTATTCTCATTTTTCTCAATTCTCTTACTTTGATCTACCATAACAAGTAAGGATGTATTCACTTTAATCGCTCTTTTGGACCATTTTCATTGAAAGTATTAAAAATATTGCATTAAATACACTAATTAGTGCCACTTGTCAGAATATTGACATAAGTGTAATATATGATGCTAGTACATTAATGATATTACTTGTCTAATACGAAACCTTTTAACTTATTGCACGACAGGACTTTCAATTAAAACTCTTTTTTTCTTAGGCGATTTTCATTGGCATGACAACTTTTTTTCACTTCTTCATTATCTTTGACTTATATTAATATTGCTAATTACATGGCACAGTTAACTCGTTATAAGAATTATTTTAAATCTGAGATAACGAATGCTGCTCGTTCCGATGAATTGGCGTACAGGGCTTTCGTAATGCATTAGCACTTAGAAAAAAAAGCAATGGATAAAAAATTATTTAAGTGCCTCAAGCTATAAAGCGCATCTAAATACTTCCCGGTATGTGATATCTGGTCTGTTATTAATGATATTTTATAGCATGAGTTGAGTAAATTTTTGTTGGATAGTTAAAGTAAAAATTTCTCTGGAGTTTTCGGCTGTATAAAGGAATGCAGTAACATTTAGAACTGCAACTGAAAGGTGACAAGAGAGAGTTAAAACTAATTACTGAGTATATAGAATAATATACCATAGAGGAAAAATAATTATTTGTTGAAAGTCATATGTAGACTGAGGTTAATGTTTCAAAAATTAAATAACTTGTAAAAGTGTAACAATATTTTAGCATAATTTAAGTTTTCTACAAAATTATTTAATTGGAATAAGAATTATAATTTATCTAAATCTTCGTGTTTTGTTGGTTTGTTTGTGTTCACAACATTGATGAAAGGCACTACATAAAAATATACAAAAGAGTAACGGATAGTTTGTAGCGTTAGTTTCCAATGGATAACTGTAAAATTATTTCGAAATCAAACAAAGTGATGGCAAACAAAAACATTCAGATTCTAAACTTGGATTATTCACTTTACAGAAATTTTATATAAACTCACTATTTGTTTCTTAATTACCTCTACTTGCTCTTATTAGTTTCATATAACAAAGTTTGGATACTGTGTAATACAAGGCTTTAAACTAATTGAAAATAAGTGTGATTTTGTTTGTTTTATCCTTGTTCTTTAAATCAAAATCAAAGAACTAACCTGTTTCTGAAATATAAGTTTTTGGTCCAACTCTCGCTAAAGAAACTAACGCTATTCCTCAAGTACAAAGATACACACCTCTAATTCTAGACTTCCGTTATATCTTATTTCAAAGTACCTAGCAATCGACTTAAATATTCGATTTGAATGTGATGTTCATTGATGCGGTTATCCAATCGGCTATGCAGAAAAATAATGTTTAAAATTCTATAACTCATTACACCTTTGTCATGTTATACGTGTTAAACCACTTCTTCTAAATGATAAACAAGAAAGTACTTGAGTTTTCGGCTGTTAACTCCGGCAAGAATTACTTCTATCTCTGACACAAGTAAATACTTCGAATAACTCTTTACACTGCCTCTCCAACTTCTATATAGTTGGACTCAAGTTTGCTCTCTCTACTGTAATGCAATGAGAAAGCCTGAGAAAACGTTTGATTTCTAAAATAGGAACAAACAACCCCCCTTGGAATGAACGAAGATTGATCCATTTCCACACCTCTGCACTTCCTTTTATACCTGATCTTCAGTTTCTCATAACAATCTTTGTTTTACTTAACAATTGATGTTCAATAAATGAGTTTTTCCCCCCTTATTCACTAGCTAGACCACTTAAGGTTGTTTGTTATACCAAACGCATTGCTGAACCTTATTTGTTACTTTTATATTTATTTGTTTATTTTTGGTTAATAATCCACAACTCAAACTTATTATCTATTTTTTTTCATGATATTAAATCTGAATCCCATATCTTTCATTGTTGTATTTCGCTGCACACGTTAATCCGCTCATTGTTTGTATATATAACCGTTTTGTTACTTATGTCCATGTTCTACTTACATTGTATTTAGTTTTATGCATTTTGTTAACTTTGCCATTACTGTAACTTAATGTTGTTTTTTCACGATTTTGTTATTTCATCCAACTTTACCTAACTAATTATTATCATTATTGTGTGTGTGTTACTTCTCATATCTTTTTTTTTTGTGTTTTAACTCAACAACATATTCCGAAGCCTTCGAACCACTCCAGCTTTGTTTTGTTTTTTACACCATATCTCTTTTAAAGCAGTTTTTTCCTCACTGGAAACCCGATGAAGGACTGTTGCTCGAAACGTTATTTTTGTATTCGTCAATAAACGTATTTTAATTTGTTTTATTCTACATTTTGTCATTTCCTCGTCTACGCAAATATTCTATTACCAGAACGGATTTAGAACATGCATGCGTAATTATAGTTATACTGGTAAATCGTGTAGAGTCATATTTACAAGTTGTAACTAAAGTCAGATTGTGCATGAAAAGACTTTATGTATTTCATTGAACTTATGGATAAGTTTGCCACTACGAAAACTTCAAAGAAAGCAGTTTTTGAACAAGTTTCTATATTGCGTTCTTTCAGGGTTTCTAATACTGTTTTTCACGAACAGCTGAGAGGCGGATGAACTGTAAAAGGCCTATTTTAGATATTTATAGTTTCAGAATATTCAATAAAAGACAGCAATAACAATGGAAATTGTGAAAACTAACAGTAATTTATATATAATTTTTAAAACATAAGACCTCTTTATTTCTTCTCAGAATAAAATATCAGTAAAGCCCTACAGTTTATTCCTAGTATTATTTCTGAGATGTCACATTGATTGTTACTTAAAGTATCTTCTTTTCTTTATGAGTCAGTTGAAACATATTCTTATTCTCCCTACATCAAATTTATAACAAAAAGAACCGTTTTTATTCTTGTGTTTAATATGAGTCTCTGTGGTAAGGATGGTTCAGTAGCGAGCAAGCGCAAACTAATTTAATTTCTTTTTAACTACAAAACACTGCGAATTGTAGACATAGTTTTTCTGAGAAAGCAATATGATGAAACCCTACCTAAAAGATACAAGTAAATGACATGACTTAAGCCACGACATATTGATTAAACGTTTAATAACACAACAGAGGTCTGCCCAACACTGATAGTCCAAAGTATGTCAACTGTCACTCACGTATCTCTCGAAAATGATAAACATTGTCTCGTGTCAACCATTTGAAAGCTGACTTATTTCAATAACCTTTCAGAAACGGATTATCTAGATAGCAGGTTGAATCAACAGAATTTATGAACAAAGATTTGAAGAGAATAGGAAAAGATACGGACTTCCACTTGACAAAACGTTTTATTAATGAATTGAAGAACAAGAAGAAGAAAAATAAAAATAGCTTGAACAAAAACAACTCTAAGATTTTAAGGTTTTTTGAGACTATATACAGAAAAAGAACAATTTAATAATACCCTTGTAGAAGGACTTTGTTTTCTAAATGTTTTAATTTCGCTATAACTTATTGTTTGTTATGTACTTGTAAGAATATTTATAACGGTTATTTTGTATTATATTGATATCGTTTAGTTACAAATCAGAATTTTTAGAATTCATTTATTTATTTTCCAGGTAAAACTGTTCCTTTTGTGGAGCTGACGGTGGCTCATGGGTCTATCCTGACCATCCTAGCCATCAGCTTTGAACGTTACTACGCCATCTGTAAACCGCTTAAAGCAGGATATAAGTGTACTAAGATGAGAGCTCTAGTTATAATCGGGATTGTATGGGTGGTATCTATTCTTATCACCAGCCCTATCCTGGCTATTGCTGAGTATACATTTGTTGAATACGTAGACGGTTCAACCGTTCCTGTATGTCTAACGTTAGTACAAACGTTTTGGCAGCGGATGTACTTTATCTCCATTACTTCCGTATTCTTTGGAATTCCTTTCTTTATTCTGGTCACTGTATATTCTTTCATTGCGAAACACCTGATGCTGGATAGTGGAGTTGTATCATCAACAATGGAACAGTCGCAGGCCAAAGCACGTCGCCAGGTTGTTATGATGCTGGTGGCCGTTGTCCTCAGTTTCTTCTTATGTCTTCTTCCATTTCGAGTGTTTACGGTGTGGATAATTGTGGCTGATCCAATGGAAGTTCAAAAGCTGGGGATGGAAGTCTATTACAATCTTCTCTACTTCTGCCGGATTATGCTATATACCAACTCGGCTATCAACCCTATCCTTTACAACCTTATATCTTCCAAGTTTCGTGATGCTTTTCTCAGGTCACTAGGATGTAGAAAAAGTCGACGGCTTCTACGCCAGGTGACTTTTACTCCCACCTCCCTAACACTCCAGAGCAGTCTGAAGAGCCGTTCCAGCCACTCCAGTGGAACCTACAACACAGTGATTCCACCTCGAACATTCGGAGCCAAAGGTCTCAATAAAATCTTATAATAACAGTCGAGAAACCCACGAGAGTCATACCACAACCGAAGTGACAGTTATTATCAAGAACCTGAGTAGATTAGAATAAAACCTAGATTTCTAACTATGAAAGCCTGGTACAGCAGTTTCTTAAAGTAGGCATTAGGCCTCTTTGCTATATTACTTACAAATTGAGTTTTTTAACATAAGGTTTTAATATTATGATTTAACTACTCTGTTTTAGTCGTCAAAAATCTTCAACTTTAAGAACCTAGACGTTTTGATGATAGTAATTTATAAGATACTGGATTTTATTCGATCAAAACTTGTATCGTATTCTACTCACAAAGCTGTTAACCTCTAGAGACATGACCACAATACTGTGATTCCACAGGATTCTAAACAAGAGGTCCCGGCGACACTTCATGACCGCAAACATTCCAACCAAAGGAAATAACGAAATTTCCAAATGTGTAATTTATTTGGGAAAGAAACTGAAATAAACATAAATTATGTAAAACGATCTCGGTTGACAGGTTTTGGATCTCTTGACATAAAAAAACAACTGTCCATGATCCTAGTAGGTCATTAACAAGTATAAGTAATACGTTTTTGTATTACTTAGAAATACTCAAGAAAACCGAGGGTGTTCTTCCAGTCTTATATTTATGAACATATTTAATGTCAGAAAACATTTCGTTATATAGTTCAGCATCAGCAAGTTTATTACATTATCTGTTTCCGAAACATGAATATTCGTCAAACTGTAACCCACACTGCAAAGAAACAGAGATCTGTTTAAAATACTACTTTTGAGTTTTGAACAAGATATCAAGAACGCTCATTTTAAAGCTGAAATGTCACATTTAAGAGCTAAAAGTGTGTTGAACTTTCAATTAATCATAGGTATCATAAATAGTCATTAGTATAACACATAACTAAATAGCTTGTATATTAAACAAAAACGCCCAACATACTGCAAGCTCTCATCAGTTCGAAGTTCACGGTTAAAGAATACATTGTGATCGACCTGCTTCGTGATATACACATCCAGTCCCGTACTCACCATCTCTGTATAACGTTATATAGTACTCCTTACTGCCCTAGCTCTGCCGCTCATCTGTTCACTCCTGTACTCAATTATATAGTTCCACTTATTGCTCCAACACAGATAATTAATAGTGTTGAAGCACTAAGTGGCACTATATAACGTTATACAAAGTCTGTCAGTACAGGAGTAAGCAGATGAGTAATAATGTTGGAGCAATAAGTGGAACTACATAGCGTGATGCAGAGACGGTGAGTACAAGAGTCAGCAGATAAGTAATAGTGTCGAAGCTCTAAGTGGCACTATATAACGTGATGCAGAGACGGTGAATACAGGAATGAGCAGATGAGTAATAGTGTCGAAGCTCTAAGTGGCACTATATAACGTTATATAGAGTCTGTCATGACAAGAATAAGCAGATGCGTAATAGTATTGAAGCACTAAGTGGCACTATATAACGTTATACAAAGTCTGTCAGTACAGGAGTAAGCAGATGAGTAATAGAGAGTCTGTCAGTACATGAGTGAACAGATAATTTATAGTGTTGAAGCACTAAGTGGCACTATATAACATGATGCAGAGACGGTGAGTACAGGAGTCAGCAGATAAGTAATAGTGTCGAAGCTCTAAGTGGCACTATATAACGTGATGCAGAGACGGTGAATACAGGAATGAGCAGATGAGTAATAGTGTCGAAGCTCTATGTGACACTATATAACGTTATATAGAGTCTGCCAGTACAAGAATGAGGTATAATGTTATATAGTGCCACTTTCAGTGCTTCAACACTACTACTCATCTGCTCACTCCTGTATTCACCGTCTCTGCATCACGTTATATAGTGCATCCAGTTCTATAAATCATCTCTTCAATTCTGCACACGTCACTCTATAAGGTTATACAGAGCTGTTTATGTCAACTACTCTGCGTTTCATACTTTTGATGAATACATTGTCATTGTGTATTTGTGTGTATATGTAATATAAAGAAATATGTTTGCTGTTCATAGTCAGCGAAGTTTTATGTTACCCAACCCTAAGGCGTAAATGCTCGTCAGACTTTGTACGTTTGTGTATAGATGTTTATGCAAGGAAATATAGCTATTGTCCTCAGTCAGCAAGGTTTTTATGTTAACAAACCCCCAGTGCGTAAATGTTCGCCAAACGTTCTGTGTCTGTGTATAAATGTAATGTAAGAAAATATATTTGTTGTTCAGAATGAGCAAGATGTTTACGTTACCCAACCTCAATTATCATAAACTTGTTTCAATGTAGATGTAAGGTAAGGAAATCTGATTTTATTATAGAGTCAATATATTTAAAGCGGCGAAAAAATTGAAACATTATGCGCGTATGTGTGCAATTTCAGTGCACATTTGTTTCTTTATTAAAGTGTGCGTTTAAAGTACGAGGAAAGTACTTACTAAACAAATACTATATCATCGTGAAAAACCCCTAGACCATTCTTTTCTTTGAGTTGCAATGATTAATTTATCTGTATATTTTATTTTTAATTTAGGAATCTTTAAAGACATAAGTATACATTAAACACCAATATATTTTTCTGCATGTATAAAACAATTACAAGTAATCGATATTGTACTGTGCTTATTACAAGTTTGAACAGGATCATAATCGACAATTACACGCTGAATAAAAGCACAGAGAAACGGATTATAACACGTTTATGGAATCTTATAATTACTATAGCGTTATACTTTAATTGTAACAGTGGAAAATGTTAGTTGTGATTCTTCAGTATCTTATTTCAATATGTTAACATTGCATTTATGCTTCTTCATCATGTAATTGTAGCAAGGGTTAGTAAGAGCGTGAAATACAGAGGGTTGAACACGTTATATAAAAACTATTTTGAATACGCACATCTACGAGGACGGCGATTTCTCCATGTTCGCTTCAACAGTTTCGATCGCACAGGAATCCATAGACGACTTGACTCGTATGTCTTCGTATGGAACAGCATAAGTATTCGTTTCGTTCTCCAGCTGCTTGAAGTACTCAACTGTCGAGTTTGTGTACACGTGACTTGTGTCGCTTTTCCAGACGGAGAATCTTTCTTAATTATGTTGTGCCTGTGCCACGTAAACAGTTTTTGTCCCAAACCTACTTCGTGGATTCTCACTTGTTACAAAACGCTGCACTTTGCTTGCCATGGCTATTGTTGTACATTTTTTGATGGTCCTGATGTGCCAAGTCGATTATTATTCCTTTGCTTTACAATTCTATTATGTATAAGGGATAACTTTGGAATTATAAATCTTCTGTCTGAACACATTTTTATGATCTAAGTGTATGAATATTTTGCGTCGGAAAAGGTTGTCACATGATCCGCTTTCGGCGGCATAACACTACTTACAAGCGCCAAACAATGTCAAAATGTAGTTCTGATACATTGCCTTTTTATCACGACTTTATATCAGCTTAGTTTATCACGTGACTTGCACAGTTGAATGCTTATGGAAAGAGCGCAGTGATGTGCTTTCGGTATGAAAACCTCACAAAATAGTTTTTCACAATAGAAAATACGCTGCAGGGCTATTGTCGAGATGCACGGTCGTTAGAAAGAGCATGGTCGGACGTGTCGACATGAACTGAAACGACGTGGTGAGGCTCCAAAATCTTTATACTATATCATACTCAACTTCCATAAACTAATACATTCTAATTACTAATACATTAATAGAATATTGTTTATATTTTATAGTTGCAGGTTATTAAAGTAGTCTGAAACAAAGTCGTAAATCTGTCGTTTTGTCTTTTCCTGAAGCGCTGGGGTTTATAGTATAGATGTAATACCATCGTTTATATTAATTCGTGGCTTTCGTGTAACATTTAAAATGTATTAGAGTAAGTGATAACACAATATTATTTAATATGATAATAAATGAAAAACAAGTTGGATTGTAAAGATTGAAATATTCACAAGCGTTTCAGCTATAATATTTATTCCACACTTCCTTATAATAAGTCATATATAAGAGTAGTGAACAACCGGCTGAGAAGTCGACTGGATTTTAGTTTTTAAAGTACATGAATAGCTTCATTATCGTCGCTATGCTAATTAAATATACGTTTATATTATTTACATTATATTTGCTTACTCGTGAAAGAACGTAAATAGATGGAAAACATTCTTTGCGTCACTAATTTCATATTTTCTTTATCTTCTAATTTTCGTTTTATTAAGGTAAATATTTATAGTGTCTGAGTTATTTATGCTACGCTATGATAATAAGAAAATACACACTCATGTATTTGTCTGTTGTATTTATTTCTTATTTATGAATTACAACATTTTTTATAACATTTTACGCATAAAATGTATTTTTTGTAAAACTACTGTTCCATAAACCCGTCATTAAACTTGATAAGCCTTACTGCAGGAAACACTAGAGGAATTGGGACCAGCAGGAAACAAAAACAACTTTATAATACAAATCACTAGAGGAATAAAAAGTGAACACATAAATCTTATAATAATCGTACACTTATTCGATCAAGCGATTTTATTAAATCTCACGAGTCTCTCTCGTTGTCTCCTAGTTCTGTAGGCATACATTTAATTCCCGCTGTGAGAGTAGTATATTGGGAGTAAACCAAACTTTTTCTTGCGCAGCTGTTTCCGTCCTGGCTTTTATTTCTTCCTGCTTGTTTCCTTATCTAGGAAAGTAGCTAAAGAATTAACGTACTTTTGTTCGTTTAACTTTGGCTGAATCGTGATTAATAGCTTATTGGGACCCACTAAGTGGCGAAGGGATATTAGGTCGCATCCTATATATAGATATATAGTCAAATATTTGAAGTTAGACAACAATATTCATGCTTAACTCTTCTTATCTATCATAGTTAACTCAGAAAATTACCTCATGCACTCAAAAATTAAACATATTATCGGTTTTAGATGCTTTTATGTTATCCAAATGGGTACATAATCCACAAATCTAGAAGGTTTCGTCTCCAAGTAAAACTTTATTCTAGTTTTGTAGCTCCTCTTAATACCACACGTAATTTAACTATACCATGTTTCTCATAAAGCCTCGTATGAACACTTTCTTTAGCTTTACTCCCTCTGTTTGAGGTCATAATAGATGAATAAATAATAGATACACATTCACAGCTTTATTGGTTCTATTATTACATCATGTAAAACGCATTGACATAAATTTTAAATAATTCTCTGTTATAATCGCCTTAGATATTTTTAGTATGATAATCAAGCCATGGTTTTAAGGAAATTACCATAGCCGCTGTTTCTTTTAGAGTTAGTTTGCATAATTAATTCTTATATTAGTGTAATTGAAAGGTTAGATTAAAGTAGAGAGAGAGAGAACGGTCAAGCTGTTGAGATAAAGTGTAGCAGAGGAAAACATAGACAGTTTTAAAATCGATTAATTAGTTCAATATTTCAGTTGAGAGTAGAAACTATCGAACATCTGATAACCATTTACCAGTCGAATTAGCCTATTTTGGTTTCTATGACATTTTAAACTTAGACTAGGCATAATTCACAGAATACAATTATATTATTTTTGTGTGATTATTTTATTCCAAACATACAAATGACGTTATTGGTGTTTGGCGCCTATATTTGTACTTCAAATTCTCAACAAGTTGGAAGGAAGTACTCTTAAATGTAAAAATAAAAAACACGAAATAGTAAAGTCTGAAACTTTAT